CTGAGCCAAAATCAAGAATAGGACTCTTAGCTGACTAAGCCAGCCCGGAGCCCCATGTTGTCATTGTTTTTAAGTATCTCATTCTGGCGAATATAAATGCTATCTAATCTTGATCTTAATTTACAAGGCTTTGATAAATGACGTTGAACACCTTTTTTATATTTTTATTGTCTATTTGGCATGGGAATCTGTGAAGTACTTCTTTTTTTATTTTTTAATTTTTAATTTTTTTTAACGTTTATTTTTGAGACAGAGAGAGACCGAGCATGAATGGGGGGAGGGTCAGAGAGAGAGGGAGACACAGAATCAGAAGCAGGCTCCAGGTTCTGAGCTGTCAGCACAGAGCCTGACGTGGGGCTCGAACTCACGGACCGCGAGATCACGACCTGAGCCAAAGTTGGACGCTTAACCGACTGAGCCACCCAGGCGCCCCTGTGAAGTACTTCTTAAAGGTTTTATGCCTTTTTGGGTTGTCTTCTCATACTGGTTTGTAGACAGTCTTTATATATAATAGGTACGAGCCTTTTATCAGATACGTGTTTGCAAATACTTTCTCCTATCCTATGGATTGCCTCTTCACACTCTTAAATAATGTCTTGGAAAACACAAATTCTGTAGTTCAATTTACCCATTTTTTTCTTTATGGTTAGGGCTCCAGCGGGAATTAATTTTAATTCAGTTTTAAGAGGAGTCCAGGTTGTTTTTCAACATGTAGGTATACATTTGACCCTGCAACATGTGTTGAAAGAATCGTTTCCCCTTCGTACGGCTTGTCCCCTGTGTCATAGAATGTCCATACGAGTGTGGGCCTATTTCTGTCCTCTTCCATTCCACTGGCCTATTTGTTCCTGGGCTAACATGTGCTGTCTTAATTGTTGGAACGTTACAGTACATCTTGATAACTGTCGCACAAATCTTCCAATTTTGTTCTTCTTTACAATTGCTTTGGCTAGTTTTAGCTCTGCATTTCCACTAACCCGTAGAAAGAGCTTGTCATTTTTCAAACACACACACACACATATCCACCAACACACATGAACACACATCTACTAGAATTTTCGCTGGCATTGCACTGAATCCTTAGATTAATTTGGGTAAAACTGGCATCTTTATAATATTGAGTCTTAAAACCATCATCATTGTATATCCTTCTGTTACTCCCCTTGTAAATTTTCTCACTAATGCTTTGTAGTTTTCTGTATAGGAGAGTTACACATTTTAAAAGAGATTTTCCTACATATTTGATACTTTTATAATCATTTTTTAAATGTTTATTTATTTTTGAGAGAGAGAGAGCAAGAGTAAGTGGGAAGGCGATACAGAATCGGAAGCAGGTTCCAGGCTCTGAGCTGTCAGCACAGAGCCCGATGCGGGGCTTGAACTCACAGACCGCAAGAACATGACCTGAGCCAAAGTCAGACGCTTAACTGACTAAGCCACCCAGGCGCCCCTGTAATCATTTCTTACATTTAATTTTCTAGTTGTTTGGCACTAGCGTATAGAAATACTATTAATTTTTGCATATTGAACTTGTACCCATCAGCCTTACGACATTCACTTATTAACTGTAATAGTTGTTTGAAGCTTCTAAGGTTACTTTTGTTTTGGGTGTTCTCAAAATCCTCAAATCTCAAGATTGTCCGCATATGTTTTTTTTCCCTTTTCTCATTAGTATTGCTGGATGTCTTTGACAGTTTTTAATCGTCTTCCCATAAATCAGTGGTTAGCACACACTGTAATTACTGATGCTCACACGGAAGCTTCCCCTTCCTTCCTCCTCCTAACTCAGCCAGTGAATGTCTCTGCCCTAGACATTTATCTGGGGTTTGGGCAGTCACCTGCAACATTTAAGATTGCTGCCGCCTGCTTTTGTAGTAAATATTGCATCCCCGTCATTAGTAATGTCATCAGCCTTGGGTGGAGATTCCTAATAAGATGCCTCAGACTTGATTCCTTAGGAATATATACCTAAAATTTTTAAAAAATAAATTATTTCTGTATATTTGTAGAAATCATGTGAATAAAATCAACTCATAGGATATAATAACATGGATATTGTGTAAGAAGTTTGCTAGGTCTCAGTGAATCCTGGCAACGGACTCACTAAAACTCCACTTCTTTATGTCTAAATGAAGGTGTTAGTAACTTTTATCTCATGGTGTTAGGAGAATTAAATGAGCAACATGTTGGGGCGCCTGGGTGGCTCAGTCGGTTGAGCGTCCGACTTCAGCTCAGGTCACGATCTCGCGGTCCGTGAGTTCGAGCCCCGCATGGGGCTCTGGGCTGATGGCTCAGAGCCTGGAGCCTGCTTCCAATTCTGTGTCTCCCTCTCTCTCTGCCCCTCCCCTGTTCATGCTCTGTCTCTCTCTGTCTCAAAAATAAATACATGTTAAAAAAAAAAATTAAATAAATGAGCAACATGTTTCATATTATGAGCTCTTATGATTAGCTCTCAAGGTCATACCAATAGTTAGTTAAATAGAAAATACTAAAATGCAGACATCCTTTCTTCTAGCCTAAGGTAATTGTCACAGTAATACAGAGTTTTTTCCCACAAACACAAATTTGGGAAGCTTTAACTAATAAATTCAAGTTACTTAGATGCCGTCTGCCATTCAACAGCAGTGGTTTCCCAAGTGCTGTCCAAGTCACCCAAATGCTTAAAAGCCACTGACAAATGAGCACCGGTTTTGCACCAGGATGATGTGATCAATGAGCATTTAACAAGTGGCAAAGTAACATCATCTGATTACTTCCCATATCTTTTGGCCCTGTGACCAGCATTGCTTTCTACTTACAGGGAACAGCAGGGAATAATTTATGCCATTTCCGATTCAGGACCACTCGCAATATTTTATGTGGATCAATAGAGAATAAAAGCTCAATTATCTACGCAGTTTCTTCAAACGTCAAATCAGTAGGTTAATCCTTGAACATTTGAGCATTTCCCCACCTTTCCATCAGGAGTAGAAGAAACACGGGCAAATATTAAATAAGTATAAGCTGTGTATATTGGCAAAATGCCTGTAACTTTGCTAAGCTGAGAGATGGGCAATCAAGGAGACTCGCAATTATAGAAGTCATAATACTGGGTATAAAACAGCCACCACGGCGTCTGGCACATTGTAGCTCTTCGGAAAATGAGAATTCCTGTTCTCTGCTCCCTAGGCTGTTGCTGCTGTACATCAGCCAAGACTGTTAGAATTTCTGCAGTCCCAGGATGCCCCTTCAGCAGCTCTGTCACCAGCACAGCCTTTCCAAGAAATTCTCCCGAACCCTGGCCCTGGTTTTCTCACTGCTTCGGAACTTCCTAACGGATTCGGCACTGAGAGCTTTACTGCCTGGTGTTAGTACAGCTCTTTCCACATCTTTCAGCCTATCTCTTCCGGACTGGATCATAAGTTCCTTGAGGGAGGGCTTGGCTTTATGCTTTGATTTCGCCATAAGCCGGATGAGTCATTTCTTAAAGCCCCGCACAGCCATTTGACATCTCCCACGCAAGGAACCTGTTAGGAACCATCCTCTATTATAAGGCTCAAAAATGCTAAGGGATAGCTGGGATTAAGGCCATTAAAAGAACATGGTAAAACAGGCTTTTGGGGAGAACTGTGATGGGGCAGAAAATACTGATAGAACCCTGCTTTAAGAATTCCAGTCTAATGTTTACTCGATCCAGGTAAATATCCACATCTCCTACGACTCCATGAGAGAAGTCTTGTGATTTGGTAAGTTTCCAAATATGTATTTATATACGGAAGGAAACATTTATCTGGGTTCAAACCTTGCCTCTTTTCCTTACTGATCGTATGGCATTGGGAAAGTTACTTTATTTCTCCAAGCTTTAGATATATCATCTGAAAAATGTGGATAATAACAGTGTTGATCCTGTATCAGGCGGTTTAGACAAGGGAAATGAACCTAAATATTTCAACAGAGGAAATTCACCGTAGAGAACTGGTTTTCCTGCGGCTAGAGAGCTAAACGAGCAAAAAGAGATTATAGAGGTAACGTGGCTATACTAACTGCAGGAAGGAGCTTCTGTCCTCGGAGATGGAAAAACAAAAGGAAGAAGGGGGCTTAGCAGAACACGAAGGCCCCAAAGAGGAGCGGTGAGGAGCCGTAAGACACGAAGGCCCGACTTTGGATGTGGGGGCGCTCCCAACTGATGCCGGAATCTCCAAGAAGATACAATGGGTCTGGTTCTGGGAGTGACTGAGGAGGCTGAACACGAGGACCACTTCTGCGGCTTGAGGTACATCATACGCCTGAGAAGCAAGCAGTCCCCTGTCTCCACCTCCCGCTTTCCAGTCTCCCTCTGGCGCCCCTACCGGCAGGCGCAACTGAAGTCGGCTGGCAAAGAAAAGTGAGGTTTGCAGCACCCAAACTCCAGCGTGACAAAGCATAACACGGAAGGCGGGTTTGGAGCTCAGGGACAATAGTGTAATGATTTGTCTGTTTGTTAAATGGGACAGGAATCGTGCCCAACCTATAGACAATGACTCAGGATGTTGTACTGAAGCATTTAGCACAGAAAATGGAATATGAAAACAAGTTTAAAATGTTAAATATTTATTATTTATTGGGTGTGTTTCTTTGTTTTTGTTTTTATTTTTAACTAAGTGATCTAGCAAGCATCCTTAATTCACTATATTAGTATTAATAAAATTTGATAACACTGTGTTTGAGACTGTCAAATGGGGTTTCAAACATACACCTGCAATTCAAACTCCTATAAGTTACATGAAAACAAAGTTCCTGCCCTTTCAAAATCGGTCATCAAGTAAACGGTTACTTCTTCATCTGTCCAGAAAATGGAATTCTTTGACATCACAGACTTTCATTGCTAATCTCTATGTATATTAAAGTGTTTGTCACCGATTTTCTAATTAGCGCTTTTTGACTCTTCCCATTTAAATGCGTTTTAGGACAGAACAAACGTAACAGAAATCCTGTGGCAGATATTCATTCCCTGTCTTGCTATGAAGAAGAGTTTCCCTTACCGCCGATCAGCATGGTGCAGATGGAGAAGATCTTTTCCGCATCTGTATTAGCAGAGACATTCCCAAACCCAACACTGGTGAGGCTGCTGAGAGTGAAGTACAGAGCGGCAATATAGGCACTTCGGATGGACGGGCCCCCCAAGGTATTGTTGCCGTAGTATGGAGACTCCAGTCTCTTTCCCAACTCATGGAGCCAACCTGCAATGGAAGAAAGAATGAGAACTTAAAGCCACAGAGTAGAGTCCCAGGATTAGCACCTGGGGGAGGGAGGGAATGACAAATGAACATTGAGGGACATACTGATTTGTTCAGGAAAAAGAAGAAAGAAAAATTAAAAGGGAGTTCAAGGCAAGAAATAAGATTCCATTGCTACGAAAGCAAAAATATCACTTTTATGCAAGCTGTTCTATATAAGACACACAGCAGAGAAGTGTGCATCCGAGAGCAGATGGGTGGTCAAAGCTAAACAGGTTACCCTCATGCAGGAGACTCTACCCACAGACACGGAAACCGGGATTGCTACGGTCGGTAACAGTGTGGTGTATTTCTCTAGTGGTTAAGCTCCTTTCTTCCTTCCTCACTTGGAGTTTCAAGAGACAAATGGGCTTAATAGGTATTTTTAAACCCTACGTGATGACACATAGCAACAACCACAAGGAGCTAGACTTCACATAGACGAGATGGGCTTTATTTCCACCCAGCACGACCTTGCCCCGTTTTATCCACTTGGGCTGACATCTAGTTGGCTTAGGAGTCTCAGCTCAGGCTACCTCCTCAGGAAACCTCCTCTGCAGCCCCATCCTGCCATGTGGGGGTGCAGGGGGAAAACCGCACAACTAAGAGGTACCTGTAATAGAACTGGATGTCCCCTGCAGCTGTTTTAGAATACTGCTCTATATGTGAGCCCAAACTGATCAAATTAAGAGCTTTAAGTACATGCAGTTTATTGTATGTCAACTATGCTGTCATAAAGCTGTAAAAAAAGCTACATTAATAAAGATGAGAAACAGCAAGCATGACATTGACGATAATAGAATGGAAACAACACAAACACTACGTTAAAATCCTTCATTGGAAACATTTATCCTTTAAGATTTTGTATTTCAAAATTCTCTCTTTCTCTTTCTTTGTAGGCGACTATGTTACAAACCACTGTGACAATTCAGCTGAACCCATAAGGTTCATAAGACTTCTGTTAAGAGATGTTATTCACTGACCGCTACTTTCTTGTAAACGCTTCATTTAATGGCTGCCCAAGAAGGGATGAGAGGCATCACACTTTTTAAGTAGTAATAATGCTGTCATTATCAACTAAAGTTATAGGTTATGGAACTGTGCTAGGTAATTAAAATGCATATTTTAAACAACTGGGAATTCCTCGAGACCAAGGAGAATTGTTTTGTGGCAAGTATTATATCTTATTCATCCTGTGTCTTCAGAAAAGTGTTTCTCAACCTTTAGCTTGCCTCAGAAACATCTAGAGGGCTTGTTAAACAGCGATAGCAAGTCCTATCCCTGAAAGCTTTTTAAAACTGCTGTGCCCTCTGCCACCTCCACTAACCGCATCAAAGTTTCTGTTGCCAAGACCAGGTACTGGTATTTTTTAAAAGTTCCCAGTAGAATGTAATGTGAAGATAGAACTTAGAACCGCTATTCCAGATCTTAGCAAAGCACTAACAATAGTCAAGTTTAATAAATGCTATTTTAAAAAGTGAATGAATTAATGAATATATCAATTGTTCTTGCACTCTATCGTAGTATGAGATAATTTGACAGCCTTGAGACGATAACACAACATATGTGCATTTGTAAATTTGTACTAGGATAAGAACATATGTTTGGACGATAGAGAATAATAATGAAACGTAAGTTATACGCTATAAAAGGTGATGCTGTTAGTAAGTTATGACCAGGTACTCTGTCTGGAAAGGCTTTGCGAAGGAAATACGCTCTAGTGATGCGGTTCAGGGCAGGCTGGCACACAGGAATGTGCCACTTGGGCATGGGAATTAGTTGAGCTGAAGGCAATCAGGGCCTGACGGACTCAAAAGAAGCTTTTTACTCCCCCCTCAACAGCCTGAAAGAATTTAGATAGGGGGCCTGTACCAAGAAGAGAGCTATTACCAGGGATAACTTTTTACATCAGAAAGATTTATCTTCATGGCATGGCAAACATTTGTTTACTGAACATTTGCTCTTCTCATCTTCCAATGAACAGTCTTTCTTCCCTTTGAAGCCCCCTTGGCCTTAGCTCAGGATGGCCTCGAAGCCTCAATTGCCTGACTGTCTTTGACCCTCTCATGTCTACGTGAAACTCCTACAGGTACTACATTAAATTTGTTTTTCTTCGGTTTTACTGTCTCACATCAGTATAATTATTAGGGCAGCCAAAGAACCTAAAAAAGAAGAGAAAAATAACGTTCCTCCCCAACACTAGATTCAACACAGATTTAAATGTGGGCTCCTCCATTTATAGGCTGCAACAAGGACTAACTTCTCTGAGCTCCACTTTTCTCACTTGGAAAAACAGGGATACTATCTAAGTTGTGGAGCTGTGATGGATTAAAGGAGGTGCCACATATGAAAATGCCAACCATTGTTACTGGCTGAGGTTTAGTGTATCTCTTTTCTCTCTCTTGCTTCTCTTACTTTCATGGGAACAAGAAAGCACAGAAGTCCAGGAAGGTAAGAGAAAATAAGAGCCCAGCACTGAACTGTAATGGGAGAGGAAGGTGGTGACTCCATGTATTCAGTAAAAACTACTGTAGGGATTAGCATTTCCTAACTAATAGAAATACGAGGGAGAAAATCCAGATGACAGCAGCTCTTAAAACTGGGGAAGTTACGGGGTGCCTGGGTGGCTCAGTCGGTTAAGTGCCCAACTCTTGGTTTTGGCTCAGGTCATGATCACATGGTTTCAGTTTGGCCGCAGGTTGGGCTCTGCCCTAGCAGCGTGGAACGTGCTTGGGATTCTCTCTCCCTCTCGCTCTGCCCCTTCCCTGCTCATGCTGTCTCTCTCAAATAAATAAATAAACGTAAAAAAAGTGGCGGAGTTATATGCCCATTTGTGAATCTGAAGAAAGACACGATTCTTTGGCCATCACAAAGTACATGTGGAGACTGTGGGCCACTCTGTACTCATTTTGTCATTTCATGGCTTCCTGAAGCCCTTTCATACATATCAGATTAAAAAAATCTGTTCTAGAATTTTAAGCGAGGGGGAGGATGCAGTGATCAAGGGTGATTTGATAGAACATAGCTTAATCTTGAATGGAAAAAGATTTAGAAATAACGGCAACTTATCCAAGATTAATTGATGAGATATCACAAAAGCAAATCACATGTGCATTTAAAAAATATTACTGGTATATTTATATGCACCGTAGGAAGAGAGTGCAGACACAAAGGCATAATCAGGAAGCAGAGAGAACATCTGAATTTATTGTCATATTCAGGATGTCGATTTCTGCAGGATAGTGCCCCCATAGGCATTTGATCCAGACGCCGTCAAATATGGAGAACCACACGATGCTGAATGGCTGGTGGGCTTGGTATTTCTCAAGTGTCTTCCCACTTGTGCTCTAAAAGGGATGCTGTATTATTTCTTCTGGACAAAGAACTGATTAGAGGGGCTTGTCCTTTTGTTCCGTATTGGTCATTCCTGCTAATTACTGGGAAGCTGAAAACTGTCCTCTTACCCAGAAAGTAAATATTGCATGACCTAATTTCTGTTTTAGCTGATGCACAGAGGAAGAGAAAAACCCAGAAACAACTGAGCTACTTACTACTTCCTCTTGCCTGAATCAGCTGCACCATCAGACCATGAAGAAACAACTGGACCCACCTATTGATCTTCAATTAAGGTATTCATTACCTTATGGAACCCAGTTTTCTCACTTAAAAAAAAAAAAAAAAGCAAACAAACCCAGTCAATATATTTGGTTGAACTTCTTAATTGGAACAAAAGTGAAATCCTGAAGAATTCTCTGAAGCAAATCAGTTTTCATACGGATTGATTTCTGTAATCAAATAGGATGAAAGTTTGTATCAGGACATACAGATTATATTAGATTATATCCTCATCCAGGGCCTGTTCATTTACAATGTGTGAAGCTATCTCAGAAGTGATTCAGGGCGCAAAACACAGAGGAACAACAGACCTACTTTTGTTGATATCTCTTTTCCGTCTAGCCAACTGTTCTGTCTATTTTCAGAAACATCTTGTTTTTTAAGAAAGGTTGCTACTAAACTGTGTTACAGCTGACGGAGCAAAAGCAATAATGATGATGGCAAAACCTGGTAACACGCAAAGGAGGTAACACCCACAAATCCTGGGATTGGCTCTGTGGGCTAAATAAAACTTTTTCACAGAACAGCTCGTCCAAAATGAGAGCACATGTTCACTGTAACAAGACAACATGTCACTGTACTGTATAGAAGAAACAGTTTAACCAATTTGGAAGCCAATCTTTTTTTATGCTGAAGAAACTCATCTCTAAAGGAAGGGATGTCCTAGAACAGTCTGTCTGTTTCTGCTCATTTTTTTTTCCTAAGGAACATTTTGAGGAAAGACACATACACAACATAAAGTAGAATCTAAATATACTAATACATTGCAATTTGATAAAGACAAAAGATATCATAAAATAATCCTATCATTACTAAAATTGATTAGATAAATAAAAGAGTAGGTTTATGAAACAAAGATAACTTTTAAGATAGAATGACTCCTTTTTTTGAGAGAGAGAGAGAGAGAGAGAGAGAAGGTGAGTGGTGGAGGGGCAGAGAGCACAGAGTCTGGTGCAGGACTGATCTCACCACAGCGAGATCATAACCTGAGCCAGAATCCAGAGTTGGAAGCTTCACCAACTGAGCCACCCAGGGGCCTCAAGATAGAATGACTCTTAATGACCACGCCCAGAAGAGCATGGAACTTAGCACAATTCAATCCATACATTTTTCATTGCATACTTACCATGGGCCCAGTATTTTGCTTAATTACACACTTCTAACACTGAATGGGAATTTCTAATTAGTTTGCTCTTTAGGCTCCCTACAATAATTTACTTACTTTTACTATGCATATTGTGTGCACAGTTTATACAAGTGTGACCTGCTTTATACAACATATGCAGTCTTAAAAAGTTTAGTTTAGATTAGCATTTGGTAAGTGAGCAGATAGTTCAGATTTAATAAAA